CCGATGGCAGCGGTTGACATCTTTGTTGAATCATTGAGGGAGAATTAAGAAAAAGAGTACGAGATAAACAATTATCTCTTCTCCTTTAAAGAAGACAAAGAACAAAAACATAAACTTTTAATTGAATCTAAAACTTGTTTTATTTACTCGACAACGTTTTACAATAACACACATACACTTATATAGATGTCTTACGGTCGTAACTGTACGTAACAGTTGTGTCTTAACCAACAAGTCACAACTCTTACACACATACCCTTTCGTTAGAAAGTCACGGTTAACAAATATTGGTTGACTTTACAACACACTTAATAATGTGTTATATAGAATAACATAAGACTAAACTCAATTATCACTAACACTCCCCACTTAATTGAGTTTCGGTCTTACACTAAGCTTCCTCCTTAGTTGGTCACAGCTTTTGGCTTCAAACAAGTAGAATGACATCTTTGTCTCTCTCTTGGTGATTTTCTTCTTATCACACAGAGGTAGTAACTTGTCTCTTCTACCCTTTGATAACGTTCCTCCTTTTTTCTCTTGTCAGTTTGACATAGGAAGATCTCCTGGGATTTCTCTTCCCCAGAAATTCTTCTCCAAGTCACCTTCAAGTTTACTCGTGACCTCTCTCACGTTTTTCTTGAAGTCTCCATGAGCTTTCCTCACGTCTTCTCTGTGATCTTTTATCACGTTTTTGTCGGCTGTTCTTGCAATCTTCTTCCACTCCCTTTCTCTTAGGTGAGCTTTCTTCTCATTCCCTTATGGTGTCCTCTTGATCACCAAATTTGTGATCCTTTGATCACCATCACGTCTCTGTGACGTCTTGTGCGTGAATATTCTCCACGTCTTCTTCGGTTGTCTCTACGACCAACCAATGCTTCCTTTCACTCTTAGATAAGCATCTCTCGTTATTGCATGGTGTCTTCCTTTAATCACCATAATGTCTCCATGACATCTTGTGCGTGAATATCTTCACCATGTGCCCTGGCTTGTTACACGCAAAGCACCTTACACCCGTAGGCAAGCTAACATCCCTGTGTTGCTTTCTCCGACAATCACTCTCATTGCGATTGTCACACGTACAAAAGTCACACCATTTCTCGGCCTTATTTTGAATTTTGTCGCTCCGTTTGTTTCTTTCTTTTGAAACAAACTTTCTCCACGTCTTGATATCTCTGTATTTTACCTCTTTTTAGCACACATTTCTTATACATTTAGCTTAGTTTCCTCTCTGTTTCATTGCATTAATAGTCCTTTTTAAAACATTTTCATCGCTTAGTACGATTTGCATTGCATAGCATAGCATGTTGCATATTGGATGAGTTTCAGGTACTTTGGAGCTTATTTAGGAGTTAATAGAGCAATGAGGAACCAACACGACCAAGGAGCTAGACTTGAGATCGAGTTAGAGAGGATTGAAGTCGTTCAAGATGACCCGGGAGCAGACTCGACGTCATGGCTCGATGACACGTCGAGTAGGACGCCAAGAAGCCGACTAGGAGCAGACTCGACCAGACGGACTCGACGTCACGTCAAGTTGGACGTCAAGGCGCCACCTTTGAAGATCACTTGGACTCGACGTGGCAGGCTCGACGTCACGTCGAGTTGGTCTCTGCCGACTCTCTATTTTGTCTTGTAGCTAATTAGGGCAACCTAGTATTTCCTATAAATAGGGGTACATGCTATTGTCCAGCGGATATTCCTTTTACCCAGCAGATATTCCGCTGCTCTCTCATAAACCCTAGTTTTTGTAATCGTTTTTCCTGCTGAATCTTTGAGTTCTTGAATTTCGTTTCTTCATCAAAGTTGTAGATCTCTCTCTTATCTATAACATACTTGCTTTTTAATGATTTCTGGGTTTGAAACGTTTTCTGGTTTTTTATGCATGATGTTCTTCAGTGTTCTTGAGTAGTGGATTAGGGTTCTTGAGGATGGGTTAGATTAGGTGTGGAATCCTTAGTATATTTAGGTGGTTAAGTGTAGATTTCCCTTCTGGTTTAGTAGATCTTAATGCTATTTCCTCTCTGATCAATTGGAAGTTGATCTCAGACATTTCCACACCCAAAAGGTGTTTGATGAAATGTCTGAACCAACTATTCCAGAGATTTGCATACTCTAGCCCAAGAGATTGGATGTTTAGAATGCTTATTGACTTTGTTAGATTGAATCATAATGCCTTCTAGGTTATATTTCTTCAATGAGAATTGAGTATGAAAGTGATTTAGCTTGAGAATCTCTGTCACGAGAGTGGATTGATTTGTATTCGAATCTATTGACTAGGGATAGCTTGATTGAGTTTGTTAACCACCTAGGTAGACTAGGAGACTGCCATAATCGATTACCCCATTCCTCAGGACCCTTTATCTCTATTGATTGTTTAAATCTTGTTTCTGTTAGTCTCTGTTGCTTAGCTCGACCTGTTAGGCCTAGATCGTTTCTTTGCATTATTAGGTTGATAGTTTCTTTTCCAAAGCTCTTGCATGATAGTTTCTGGTCTTTAGTTTACTTCTTACTCTTGTTTACTTACTGTTTAGTTCTCTTTTTACGCTTTTAAATTCGGTATTTGCATGTTAAATTGGTTGCTTAGGATCAATAGAAACACACAAAATCGTTTCATAATTGGCTTGACTTATTTGCTTCCTGTGCATATCTTAATTGCTTGCAGTCACACTGAGATTGGATTGATAAACCTGATATACTACAATGGCATGTGTATTAGGGATTGATACTTGTTAGACAGAGAAATCCTATTATCAATTTGGCGCCGTTGCCGGGGATGTGTTGCATTGTTCCATTTAAGATTTCAGAAACGTTTAAAATCAAGTTCTTTCTTTACCTTGGTTACTAACTCTTCATTTCATCTGCTTGTTTTTGTGCTCCAGGTACCATCTCGACCTCACGTCGAGACTGCCACATCGAGTCTGACCACTCTGCATGCAAACTCGATCTAAAGGCTCCAACAACCTCATCAGCTACAAAGACAACATCGATCGGTTAGCTCGTGAGTTAAGAGAAGGTAGAGCCCGAGACAACTGTGAACCGCACAATCCAGTAGCCATGGAACCACAAGATCAAGATAATCAAGGAGTTGGTATACCACGGAACATTGGTGATGGTGATGCACCACGCAACCATCAACAGAGACAGGGCATCGTTCCACCTCCTGTCCAGAACAACAATTTCGAGATCAAGAGTGGATTGATCTCAATGATTCAAGGTAACAAGTTTCATGGGTTGCCTTTGGAAGACCCCTTGGATCACTTGGATAATTTTGATAGGCTCTGCAGCCTCACCAAGATCAATGGTGTTAGTGAAGACAGTTTCAAGCTGCGTCTGTTTCCCTTCTCGCTGGGAGACAAAGCCCACCACTGGGAGAAGACACTACCTGCTGGCTCCATCACATCTTGGGATGATTGCAAGAAGGCATTCTTAACAAAGTTCTTCTCCAATTCAAGAACTGCACGTCTACGGAATGAAATCTCCAGTTTTACTCAAAAGCAGTCTGAATCCATTTGTGAGGCCTGGGAGAGATTCAAAGGCTACACTATACAGTGTCCACACCATGGTTTCAAGAAGGCTTCACTACTCAGCACACTCTACAGGGGAGTTGAAAGACCCCAACCCGGACTCCCTAAGCCCGGAGAGGTTCTTCCCGAACGGATCACTAAGTGGTCCGATCCTTAGCCAAATTTTAGGGTTTATTCCTTAAGACAATCCGTTTCATATTATTCCGCGATTCATTATTTAGAGTCATTATGCAACCTTAGAGTAAAACAAACGATCGGATACTTTATTAGATAAGTAAAGGATTCGATACAACTTATGAGTTTGCATATAAGCTATTACAAGTCATATAATCGATCCTATTCTACCCGATTCA